CTGGCCGCTGTCACTGTGGGACACGCTTTTTTGCGTGAGGAAAAGGATTCCTGTGTAGAATAAGGGAAAAGTCTGTCTTGTAGCTGGGAGTCTGGATTTTTATTAGGGTTTTCACTTTGGGAAGTTTTAAAGAATATCCTTCCAGGCTTCTGAGTAAATCTCTGGTTATTTTAATGACTATAAGTAGGGCTGAAAGTCAGACGTGCTGGACCGCTCTGACTGGTAAACTCTGGATTTTTTCAATCATACTTTGAATTTTCTGTCTTATTAAAATCGTCAGCCGCCTTTAGGTGCACATCTGGAGGAGCTGGGTTGAAATTAAGCCGGAGTTGAAGGCAGAAAACGCGCTCGCTTGATTTTCACGCTTTTACTTTTTAAAATAGAACTTTAAATTCTTCCTCCTCCCATAAATAGACGCGCGGTGGTGTGATGGAGACGGGCTGCTGTCGCAGGTAGAGCTGGGCAGGACCAGCGCCACGGCTGGGCTCTGGGGACAGCGAGCTCCCGTTCCGTTCCATGCCCGTTACCTGTTTCCAAGGCGTAAGAGCGGTCGTCCAGATGTGTCCGACTGGCCGTAAGTTGGAACACACTGTATGTGTTCAGCCCTAATTAAGAGCTTGCTTTCCAGAATCGAGCACATTTAAATTTTTAATTGCGCTTTTTTTTTTTCCCCCCCCGTAAGAAAGCAGGGAGGATGGGTTCTGTCCTCTGCAACTGCACTGTTCCTCCCAGATGGGTCATCAGCAGGGTCTGAACTTTGAATTTTCACATCCCTGTTCTATATTTGACTGCTTGATAGAGAAACAAGTTGTCCTTTACAGCTGCCTACCCCAGAGGGGACCATTAACCTCCGTTTGGCAGGAGAGCTGCGCAGCCGGGACCGCTCCGTTCCCTTCCCGGTGCTGGGGGAATGGAAGGAGGACATGGGAGAGGGGAACGGAGAGGACCAGGAACGTGCCTGAGCGTTACACCAGGGGCCAGGGAGCTGGGCGTACGGCCGGGGCGAGGAGGCGGGGAGAGGCCTGGGTTAGCCCCGTCACGTCGGTAGGTTTTGGCAAGTTGGGAATTTGGGGCCAGAGTCCTTTCCCCCATCGTTGTTCAACCTCGTAGCTACGGGGCGCAGGCAAGGGCCGTCCCCTCCCATTTGTGCAGAGAGGACCCATGCCTCGTCCCACCCTCGAATTATTGACCTTGTGCACTAAAACCGGGCGATTCCATCTGCGAAACACCTGCATGACAGGAGAGGGAGGGGGGGGTCAAGTGGGAGGGTCTCCAATCTCCAGCAGGTTGAGGGTCTCCAGCAGGGGGTTGAGGGTCTCCAGCAGGTTGAGGGTCTCCAGCAGGGGGGTGAGGGTCTCCAGCAGGTTGAGGGTCTCCAGCAGGGGGGTGAGGGTCTCCATCTGGGTGAGGGTCTCCAGCGTGTGAGCGTCTCAGGTGCGTGTGGCCTCGCTCGTGCGCTCCCCCTCAGTGCTGCCCGTTCCCCAACGAGCCCGTTTCAACTGAGCGCCTCCACTCGTGGCTGATTTGGGTTGAATTTAGCGGCCGTTTGACTTGCGACCACGTGCAGACGAGTCCTAGAGGTTCAGCGTGTTTGATAGCTGGCGGCCACGGCTGTTTTCAGCAGCAGCCATCTCGGAGCGGGTTTTATTATTACAGTGGTGAAATCCCTCGGTTTTCTGTTTAAATTAGCACTTTATGCTCTCGGAACTGCTCGTGGAGGCTTGCCAGAGGTTGCTGAAACGTGGATACCCGCTTTGCTGTTGTGGACGAAGCCGGTGAGACGAGCGTGGTTTACACTCGTTAGGATTCAGAACTTATTTGTTTGTTTATTTATTTATTTATTTATTCGTGAGTGCTTTTGCGCTCAGATGTTTCCGGATGAGAAGAGCGTGGTTTATGCTCGTTAGGATTCAGAACCGATTTATTTATTTATTTATTTATTCGTGGGTGCTTTTGCACTCAGATGTTTCCGGATACCTGGTGGTGGCAGAGAAAATTTGCAAATCCGCTTTTTCCCGATGAGAAATCTGAAGTACGCGTTTTTGAATAAACCTGTCGGGGTCTGCTTTCCCAACTCTTTAAATCTAAATTAGGCTGGTGTGGGCTTTGAAGTCAGGTCGTGCTTCGGGAGGATTCTTAGCGCCGGGAACTGATAGGAAGCGCGTTTCCTGCAGCAGGGGTTGCACCTCGCCCTTCGCACGCGCTCCGCTCTGGGCGTGCCGGTGGCTAGCTGCCATCAAAGTGTGGTTACTGAAGCTTAAAAAGCTGAACTGCTGTCTTGAAACACCATTCAGGCCCGCAGAGCAACACAAAGAACTGCACCGGCCGCCGTGTCTTTAAAAAGAAAGCCCCATAAACATTTGCAAACCCAAACATCTTAAATGGGTTCCTCCCAGAATATTTTTTTTTTCCTGAAATAATAAGCGAGCGCAGTCAAAACCTCTGCGGAAAGAAATGCAAACTAATAAATGGATTTGTTTGAAGACCAGATGTGTTTCATGTGGATTCTTCAGTGGCTTCTGTGGTATTTTGGTACTTGGAAATAATGATTTTGGAGGCAGTTGTGGGAGCGGAAGGACAGAACGGGAGAGCGAAGGTTGGTGCTGCTCCATCCTCGCCGCATTCGGGAGGGGATCGGGCTCCCGGGGCGACACCGGAGGGATCCCCCTTGTCCCCTCTTTGGCTTTGCGAGTGAACCCTCGGCTGGGGGGGGAGCCTTGCTCCGGTTCCTCCCCTGGAAAGCTTATTCGTGTTATTTGTGGGCGCTGTGTTCTGGCAATGCTGATCCTGGGTCTCAGGTAAAATATAAACTGGGGCTCCCGGTGAGTTGGTGGGACGAGTCCCTTGGCTGTGATGTTTTCACGCGTTGCCGTGGCCTTTTTAGTGGCGTAAAAGTGGTTCTGGGGACTTGGGGAGGACCTCACTGTGATTCCCAAGCTTAACGTCTCCCAGTTTTATATCCGACCGCGTTCAGTACTTGGGGGCTGAGGGCTCCGCTGCTACCAAAGCCGGCTCTGGTGGCCGATACCCCGTCACTGATGATGTCAAAGTCCATCTTCCCCCCTCTTTAGCGGCAGCGTTAGGGTAACGGTTGGCCTTGCTGATCTCAAAGGCCTTTTCCAACCGAAACGATTCTGTGATATATTTAAATTTGGCAGGAAAAAAAGAAATGAACGCTCTGAGCTGTACCCATACAAGCATATAAAAAAAAAAATCCATGAAGCCTGTTTAGCCTTCGCGGGAGCGTTTCGGAGCGTGGCTGGGTTTGAACGCCCTCCATCCTCATCTTGGGAGGAGTGCCTGATACGCCAGAAGGCTGCGCTGCCATCCAGCGGGACCTGGGCAGGCTGGAGAGTTGGGCGGAGAGGAACCTGATGAAGTTCAACAAGGGCAAGTGCCGAGTGCTGCCCCTGGGGAGGTTGAACCCCATGCACCAGTCCAGGCTGGGGGCTGACCTGCTGGGAAGCAGCTCTGCCCAGAGGGACCTGGGAGTCCTGGTGGATGACAAGCTGGCCATGAGCCAGCAGGGTGCCCTGGTTGCCAAGAAGGCCAATGGCCTCCTGGGGTGCATCAAGAGGAGCGTGGCCAGCAGGGCGAGGGAGATTCTCCTCCCCCTCTGCTCTGCTCTGCCCTGGGGAGACCCCACCTGGAGCACTGGGTCCAGTTCTGAGCTCCCCAGTTCAAGAAAGATGAGGAACTCCTGGGGAGAGTCCAGAGGAGGGCAACAAGGATGATGGGGGGACTGGAGCATCTCCCCTAGGAGGAAAGGCTGAGGGAGCTGGGCTTGTTCAGCCTGGAGAAGAGAAGGCAGAGCACTGGAACAGGCTGCCCAGGGAGGTTGTGGAGTCTCCTTCTCTGGAGATATTCAAAGCCCGCCTGGATGAAGTCCTGTGTAGATTGCTCTAGGAGAGCCTGCTCTAGCAGGGGGGTTGGACTGGGTGATCTCCCGAGGTCCCTTCCAACCCCTGCCATGCTGGGATTCTGTGATCTCCATGCTTTGCTTTTATCTGCAGATCCATCTCTCTCCCGCAGAACACCGGCGTGTTCCGGGGGGTGCTTTCCCCAAGTTCATGGCAAGCGTACAAGTGAAGCGTTCCCTTCTGCGAGTTTGGTGTAAAACCACGCTGAAGCGTGATTTTGGGGCTTGCTTACGTAGGAATTGCTTACAGAAACGTTCGCCGAGGCCGCGTTGTTCGCTGCAGGCCGTGGCCCTGCGTGCTGCCGTGGCGTGCGTGCCTCTTAAGGTCCGGCTGCCTTTTGTTTAAAGGTTAAATAGCTTGGCTGGAACAACTGATTTAGCAATTTAACTTCAATTTCACAGCCTTACGCACGTATTAGGGGGCCACAGCCTGAGTTACGCGGCAGGGGGGCGTGTCATATTTATAATATTGCGTATATTTTTCTATTTACGTTCTCTCTGATAACGCTTAGTGCTTATTTTCCAAGGTACTTAAGTTTGCTGTTGGGGTTTCAAACTTGAGCTCTTTTTCTTGGCAGCGCAAACCTGGTTTACGGTGGAGAAACGGACTCGCGAGTCGGGCCGCCGGCTCGCCATCGCTGGGGGAAGAAACCGCACGCGGGTTTTGAATGTTTTCGGCTGTCTGTTGGGATTAAAAAATGCTCAGTCCTTTCCTTAACACCAGGGTTGATCAAAAAATATATGTAAAACTCATTTGGCAAGCTGTCTGACTGCTCTTGCAGTGGACGGCATGCGGTAAAGTGCTTAAAAATTGCTGTTTCTCGTAAGGCAAGTGGTGGAAAGACGCAGCTCTGAGTGACCCCGCTTTGGCTGATCTCCCGCCTGCAGGTGTTTCACCAAAACCAACGGCACTTTCAGCAGCAGCGCCCTACCCGTGGTGCCCATCGTCGCACCTTACCAGCAGGACGGCTTGGAGATGAAGCCTCTGAATCACCACGTCATGGTGGCCATGTGCTTGGCCTCCTCCGTCCCGGAGTGCAGCGCCCGGCTGGAGGAGGACGGCAAGGAGAAAGCGGAGCAGCCCTCTGCCCAGCACCCCTGCTGTCGAGAAGCCATGAGCCGCCTCTCCGTGGATTACACGGACGGTAAGGCATTCCGGAGAGGATAGCGCCCGGCTTTGAAGCTGGGAATATTCCATAGGACAGCCGTGATTTACGGCGGCGCAGCTAGTAATTAAGCCTGCAAAAGACCTGGCTTTTTGAGAAAGATTAAGCGTCCCGCCTTTCCCGTGGTGGAAAACAGGCGCGGCGATGCTCAGGTGCTGCCGTGCCCTCCGTGATTGATGCCTCTGAACGGAGCTCGTCCAGCAGGCGCGCTCCAGATAACGAGGCTGCAACTGATTAACGCTGGCTCGCCGTCACCTGCACCTGCAGCGTACCCGTGGTCTCCCAAAACCACTGAGACGCTGCCTCATCGAGGCTTCCCCTGATGAGCAGGCATCTGTGACGGCCTAGAGCCGTCCCGCAGGCGCAGAAATGTCGGTGGGAGCTGGGCTGACCTCATCGGCGCGACCCATTTGATGCGTGCTCACGTGGAGATGATGCTCTGAGCTGCTGCCTGATGTTTTGTGCCTGGTACGGTGGGAATGAGCCCGAGCTGAAAGAGCATCCCCCACCTTTATTAATCCGAATTTTTGGGGCTCATGGGTCCGTTGCGCTGAAAGAGATGATCTGGTTTGTGGTCGGGTCCCCATCCCTGAGAGTATTTAAAAGACAGGCGGACGAGGTGTGTAGGGACAGGGTTTAGTGGTGGGCAGGCGCAGTTGGACTCGATCTCAAAGGTTTTCCCACCAAGTGATCCTATGAGACCCAAAACCCAACAACCAAGCAACCCACCCTGCTCTGGCTTTGCAGGCGAGAACTGCGTGCACTCGGAAACGTCGAACCACGTTTTGAGCTGGAGTCCCCTTCTTCTGCAGCCTGTTTCCAAGGACTGTCAGGAAAAGCCAGGATGGAATTCGTCTGGTGCCACCGAAAGCGGTTCCGGGGACCTTCAGCCGCTCCAGCTGCAGGAAACCTGAGGCAGCGACCGTTGTCCCCACGTAACGCCAGGAACTGCACAGCAGAGTCGCTGAAAGGGAGTGATGGAGGGATGTTAATTATAACAGAGAGAGTCGCTATTTATTTTTTTGTAGTAGTGTCATATGAATGTATCTTGGTTTTAAAAATGGTTGCCTTTTTATATTATTTATGCCTTGAAATTCCTTCTTTTCTTGTTTTTTTCACCCACCCACCCACGCACCGCGGAACTAGGCTGGTTATGTGTATAAAAAAAAAAAAAAAGAATTGTAATAATATAAAGAACAGTGCTGGGAAACGTGGAGTGTGTTTTCCATATGAGAAAGCGCTTCCGAGGGGTCCCGTACCGGGATTTTAGGGAAGTGGCTGTGGTGCTTGGGACCGACGGCTGCTGCTTCCCTGGCAGCTCGGCGGGGGGTACCCGGACCCTCCTTTCCCGTCCTCTTTC